CCTCCTCTGCTCCCTGCAGCGCATGGGCTGGACGGAAAAGGTTCGGAAACTATCGCAGGAGCTCCTGCGCGGCGGCCGATGCGAGCGATTTGATGATGTGGTTGAGGCCGTGGTTGCGTCCGCGGAGGGACGCAAACACCCAGTACTAGCAGGCTTGGACAATGTGAATGAGGAGGACAAGAATAGTAACGGCGATGCGGACGGCTACTTTGAGAAAGTGGATGTGCGGATCCCGGAGGCGGTGGTCGAGCAAGGTGTGAGGGCAATCAAAGAGGTATTGCGCGAGGTGGTGGTACTCGATGATGATTCAGATCTGTTAGAACATCATGATTCGCGCCATAGCAATGTGGATGGGAAGCCGGAGGGCGGCGGTGAAACGAAGACTAAACCATCCAAGTCGTCGAAGACAGGGGACCAGTCACTAAAAAATGGTGATACAAGCCCTGTTAAGAAGACGGATAAGAAGCCGAAGCCTGGAAAACAGGTAAAGTGAACTCGGGCGTCACATCTGCTCTGTCGGTCTTTTTTTTTTTTGGTCTCTTTGTATTTTCCATTTTTCGGTTCTTCAGGGTATATCTGGCTTTGGCATTCTTGTTCGGATCACTTGTCATAGGTGTTTGCCTGGCATTTACTTCTGGCGAGATTGGTGTTTAGAACGGGTGGGAGTTTGCTGCATTTTGATACCATATCCACGACGACGTGCATGTACAACGTCAACTTGTGGTCTTGTCCACCTTGACCGTGGCAGTGTTTTAATTCAATGGACACTCGTGTATTACGGGAACATTCTTGATTCTATAAGAGTCATTGATGCATTAAACTAGAACGTCGAGTTCATCTCTCCACTAAGAACTATTATGGCATCTAGTATGCGAGACGTAGATAGACACAAAAGATGGACAAACCCTGTTCAAAAGGAATCAGAAACCAATCGTATTCCTAGCAGTCCATACCCTCATCAGCCCCGCTAGATCTAACTAGTGCCGATACATAACTAAGAAAGACTTGAAAAGAAAAACACAAAACCCAATTTAGTCATAGAGGCTGTCGTCATTGCCGGCTTCACCGAACGTGTTGTTGTCCTGGACCTCGCCCGCAGAGGGGAAGCGGAAGAAGCTGCTGCCGCCCGAGTTCTTCAGGCTCTGAGCGAAAGCCTCGTACCGGCGGATTTCCACGTCGCTGACGGACCGACGGGCCGTCTTCATGGCCTCCTCGAAGTGCGCACGCGTAAGCTCCGGCACAGGATCCTCCTCGTCGACCTCCTCGTCTTCCTCCATCTTGACATCCTCGCCGTTGGCCTCACGCTGCTTCTGGCGCTCAATATCAGCCGTGATAGACTGCTTGATGGCCAGCTTGACAGCACGTTGAGTAACGAATCCAAGATCGGCACCAGAGAATCCGTGGGTCTTGCTGGCAATGAAGGGCAAGTCCACATCGGATGCGACAGGGGTCTTGCGCAGCTGGGCCTTGAGGATACCCTCACGGGAAGCCTGATCGGGCAGGGGAACGTAGACAAGAGTGTCCAGACGACCAGGACGGACAAGAGCAGCATCAAGCTGCTCGGGTCTATTTGTGGCACCGATAACAAAGACGTTCTTCTTGGAGGTCATACCATCCATTTCTAAAGTGAAAGTTAGCTTTTGCATTCAAGCGCATATATTGTCTGCTGTTACACATACCGGTCAGGAGCTGGTTGACGACACGGTCAGAGGCACCACCAGCATCGCCAACAGAACCACCACGAGACTTGGCGATCGAATCCAACTCGTCCAAGAAGACGACACAAGGAGCAGCAGCACGGGCCTTGTCGAAGATGTCACGAATGTTGCTCTCGGACTCACCGAACCACATCGAGAGCAGTTCAGGGCCCTTAACGGAGATGAAGTTGGCAGCGCACTCGTTAGCGACAGCCTTGGCAAGCATGGTCTTACCAGTACCAGGAGGACCGTAGAACAGCACACCTCGAGAAGGCGAAAGACCAAACTTTTGGTACTTCTCGGGGTGGTCCACGGGGTACTGCACGCTCTCGATGAGCTCGCGCTTGACCTCCTCGAGACCACCAATGTCCTCCCAACGAACGTTGGGTACCTCGACAACAGCCACTTCGCGAAGAGCGGAGGGGTTGGAGACACCAAGGGCAAAACGGAAGTTCTCCATGGTGACACCAAGGGAGTCGAGCACCTCGGCATCAATGGTATCCTCGTCCAGATCGATCAGATCCATCTTCTCACGAATCTGTTGCATGGCAGCTTCAGAGCAGAGGGAAGCAAGATCAGAGCCGACGTAACCATGGGTCTCAGCGGCGATGGTCTCCAAATCAACGTCCTCTCCAAGCTTCATGTTCTTGGTGTGAATCTGCATAATCTCCAGGCGGCCGGTGGGGTCAGGGATACCAATGTCGACCTCACGATCGAAACGACCGAACCGACGAAGAGCAGGATCGATGGAGTTGGGGCGGTTAGTGGCGGCCATGACGACAACGTTGGAACGAGCCTTCATGCCGTCCATCAGGGTCAGGAGCTGAGAGACGACACGGCGCTCAACTTCACCATTGGTCTTCTCACGCTTGGGGGCGATAGAATCGATTTCATCAATGAAAATGATAGCGGGGGAGTTCTTCTCGGCCTCCTCAAAGGCCTTGCGCAGATTCGATTCGGACTCACCAGCCATCTTGGACATGATCTCGGGACCATTGATGAGGAAGAAGAAAGCGCCGGTCTCGTTTGCCACGGCACGAGCCATCAGAGTCTTACCAGTACCGGGAGGACCGTACATGAGGATACCGCGAGGAGGCTTGATACCAATGGACTTGAACAGTTGAGGATGACGGAGGGGCAGCTCCACCAATTCACGGATCTGTGCCATCTGCTTCCGGCAGCCACCAATGTCATCGTAACCAACCTCGTTGAGGTTACCCTCCTCATCCTCGCGCTGGATCGGCTCACCCTCGCAGTGGATGACGGTATCTTGTGCAACAATGCCGTACTCCGGAGGATCTACCTCAACGACCTTGAATTCCACCTGTCTCATACCTCCTCTTACTGTGAACAGATCGCCCTGTCTCACGGGTCTGTAGGCTTCGCGGAAGTAGGGGGCAAGGAAGACGTCGAACAAGGAGCCGGTGAGACCCTCAACAGTGTCTGCGATAGGGAGAACAGCAATACGCTTGGCCTATAGTACCAGAATGTGGTCAGCTAGCACGCCCTGTCGAGCCGTAGTCAGGAAGTACTTACATATTTAATATCGGGGCATGGGTGGACAGTGATAACATCGCCGTGCTTGACACGGAGGTTGTGCCTCACCACACGGTTGATGCGGGCGCTTCCATCATCAAGATCATCATCCGCCAACACAATCAGAACGGTGTCTTTCCGCTTCTTGCCCTTAACCAGAACTGTGTCACCGCGGAAGAGCTGGAGGGTTTCCATAGTGTTGTTGGAAAGGGCAATGACGGAGTTATCATCGTTGACGGCATCGGTCACACTGCAAGTCCGCTGATTAGCATCCATCAAGGTACCCCCTCCGTTGTTAGCAGTTGTGGGTAGTACTAGCATACATCAATGAGTTGGGCTTCTTCTTCTTCTTTAGGATGGCTGTCGAGGTATCGAGTTCCTGTGGCGAGACCAGTCAGCGTCATGGTCGGCAAAATCTTTTTCTGCGATGAATCTTCACCTCTTTCTTCTCGGCGCCAGAGGCGTCCCTTGAGCTCAGTTAGCACATAAATCGCTGCAAGAGGGAAGGACTTGAAGCGTACTGAAGATGGACCCTCTTCTTTTCATGAGTATGGTCGGGTTCTGCGCTCATTTTGACGGCGAATGGGGATGGATCGCTGATCTAGCGAGCTCTTGAAGCAGGTAGGCCTGAAGGTACGAAGGACGTCACTGTATCGGACTTAGGATGCCCGATGACAGAAACACGAAAATAGAGAAAAAGAACAAAAAAACGTAACACAGACAAATGATCCAGCAGACACGATAAAATGTCTGAGGGATAAGTAAATGGAGAATGGGAAGGATTGATAAAATGCAGCGGAGACAGAGAGTTGGAAGTGAGATCAGAAGTGGCAGAAACAGCTACCCGTTAAGAGGTGACGATAGTCTCAACTGCCTTCCTGTTGATGACTTAAGCCAGGTTCCTCACTCATTAGCCACTGAGCGGCTGCCGCCACCGCCCCGAGTACAGAAGCGTATGGAAGCCGGTCGCATACTGACCAGTTACCCAAAGTATCGACTGGTCAACTCCAAGATATAATCATTCATTTCTTTATTTCTAGTGATATTATTAGTAAGGAAAGCTCAGAGGTTCCGAAACGTTCTTTGTTGCCAAGTGGCATTTGCCTTCAAAGTTCTTATCTTTAACTTCTGTTTTCGTCCTTGATGCTGACTGATCCTTCTAACATACTCCAACTTCTACCAAATACTCCGCACTGTTGATGTGCCTGGTTGCCTCAGGCAAGAAGGCTATATCATTTGTTGACCACTTGTGGCACCAGCCTCGTTCACCCTACATATCACCCCCTTCGCCCAAGGCTCCAACATGACTAGGCAAATGAAGGTGCCTTCTCAGGCTTTGCCCATGATAGAAATGTTGCCTGGTTTGAAAACCTGTATAAAGCCCTAATGTCCCCGACTTGCTCGGTACTACCCAGTATACGTACTAAATGTGCTTTCCCTTTTAACATTGCCTTCCTAAAGTGTTGTATACTTCTAATTATCCACCCGTTTTCTTTCTCCTAGATACCAATTTACTTTCATGCAAATCGGCTGGAAAGTGCCATAGTAACCTATCAAAGAAATATTCTTCCTATCTCATACTTAAGAGAGCACATTATCACCAACAAACCATTACTCCAAGTCATCACACCTTACAATCAGGCCACGAGTCCCAAGAATAAGAGAAAAATACAGCAAACGTACTATTGCAATCAACAGGACTATCGCTCCGAAGAATGAGCGTCCATTTCATCTGAACCAGTCCTGCATGGTCCTCCATTTTAGAAGATGGAGTGCAAACCATGGTATCCAGCCGACTTCAACCAAGCTCTCCTGAACACCTTCACAGAGGAAGCATTGGCCGAGCTCCTCGAAAGACCAAACTGTGCACCGCGCTTCGTCTACGGAGTGTTAATGCTTCCTACCGCACTCAAGTATTTCATAGGAGAAAACCCGACCACCGACATCACAAAAAGAATGACTCGCGCATGCGTATCAGGTTACATGCTCCACCAGATCTCACCGCAGAGTCCGCCTGTCGTTGTCCAAACATCTAATCCGCGTGATACTGTGCAAGGAATGCTCTTGTTGGGACTGGACATGGACCAGCGGAACTTGATCTACGATCTTGAAGGAGGGCTTATGAACTTGGTGGATGTGAGGGCTCAGATTCGTCTGAAGGATAGTAGCTTACCTTGCCATGATATTTGCAGTGACCGGATGATTGATGCTGGTATGTTTGCTTGGTATGGTTCTAGGGAGGGTCTGATCCCGGTGAAGAGCACGGCTTGGCCTCTGGATGAGTTTCTGAAAGAAAAGTTCTATGAGACATTGTTAATTCTCAACACAGGAATATGCTGGACGGATCGGGGCTGTTTCTGTAAGACCGGGGTAGCAATAGGCCTGTCTTTTTCTGGGATCATCCGAGATTAGTTGTCATTGAAATGGGCGTTTGGGGTTTTAGGGCATCCAGGAGTTTAGAGTGGATAATGGGCCAAGGTTTGGTGCAGTTATGGCTTTATGCATTTAACAGTAGTAGATAGATAGATGCTAAGAAGACTATCTCAATCAGTTGGCAGAATGTGACTTAGAGGGAACTTAAAAATTAGGGAAGGTCTATTCTATCTTAAAGTCTTTGAGTTTTAATCCCCAAATTGCGCCAGTCAATATACTCTACACCACAGTTATATACAGATCTCAGTCCAGCCGGATTTCCTGTTTGTCTAGGACTGCGCAGTTGCGGTCCATAAGTCATAAACGCCCCAACCCGCAGCCATGAAGCTAACAACACCACTCAAACTGTCAGGGAAACCAATCCCCTTTTCGAAACACCAGTGAAGACACAATGGCGCCCAGCAGGTATTATTCACCAGGCTCTTCTTCCAAGCGCGAACCTCGGCTTTCAAGGCTTCTTTCTTCTTCTCCTCTGACACCTCACCACTCATTCTCTTCTTCCGGAGCACGTGCTCTCTCCACAGCACGAAGAACTGGAAGAAGATGTGGCCGAACCAGGCCCGTGTACTCCATATATACCACTTGTCAATTCCGCCCCAGCGGTCGATGAACTTCTTCGAGATTACTCCTTTGGAAGCCAGGAAGCCAGCATTCTCTAGGGCTTGGTAGATCATGTTCACAGCCACTTGAAGAAGGGTAAGTGCGTAGAGGATGCGGTCCGATGGAGGAGACTTCAATGTAGCGGAGCCCCAAGTCCACAGAGGGAAGAGGCCCAAGAGCCGGAGGCTATAACGGGTTTCTGACATGAGAGCGGAGAGGGCAAGTAGTCGCGATTGCGAGGGAGTCGAGTTGGGTGCGACAGGCTTGGCTTTCGATCTCAATCGGGCCAGAAGGCCGAGCCGTGTTTGGAGGGCAATCCATGGTGCGGAGGCCAGGAGGTGATGGAGCGCATGGGTTAGATAACCGGTGACAGCAAAAACTCGTTCTTGACCATAGGCCGATGACATGAGCCTGTGCACAGAGCGCAGTTAGTCACATGGTAATGGTAGGGACTACGGTTGGTTGAGACGCCTGTCGCACAAAGGCAGAGAATCGCACATAAACACCAAGACCTCAGACAACTACTTACTTGTCCAAGCGGCCGATGGTGACGTCGGTTGCCCTGAGGGCTTCTAGCAACTGGCGCTGAGCGACATCCAAAGACGATGGTGAACCCCCCGCGGGACTGGCCGATTTCCCCACATTCGGTGTTTCGGCAACGGCGGGCGCAGAAGAATCAGGGGGGTTTTCAGTCTCAGCCATGATGAGCACTATAAAAAAGATGCGGGAATCTCCGATGCTCCGGAGAGGGCGGTATGGAGCGCAGGGCGATGTGGATTTATAGGGAAATGTCAACGCAGAGCATCTGACTAGCACTTCCTTCCGCTTGGCGCGGATGCCGAGGTTCGGAGTTTACTAGATACAGACAAATCGCTGTGATCGACCGAATCAGTTTGCGCGCACTCGACAGCCAGTCCTTCACAACATTTGTCCTACCCATGAACTACCGGGTGGGTAGAAGACGTCGGTTTATATAGTTGTAGCGGGCTGATTTGTCTTGCAAAAGTACCCGCGCGTGCCGCATGCAACACTCGAAGCGTCGTTTTTCGTGGTTGATCTGATCTGCATGTGGATTCCACCATCTAGTGGAATTGTTTAGGAAATTTTGCCCGCGGAACTTTTCCTTCATGAAAATTTCTAGAAGATCATCCCACTATGTTACACACATGCCTTTGCATTCCCACGCCACTTTGTGAATCAATTTGCTTCTTCTCTCT